GGTTTCGTGAGTTCGGCAGTTATCGTCTGGTCGCAGAAGTTGCTTGAAACGCAAGTATTGCTGAGTGCTTGAACCCCTTCCATCACCTCTTCACCCCGAAGCCCCCGTGACGATGAGCGCATCCAAGCCTTGGCATCCCGATTTCCCTGGCCTCGGTCACAGCTCCCAGTTTACAGCTACAGGTTCATCAGAGGTGAAGCTGAGGATTCAGGGCTTCAGCTTCTCATTTCAAGGCTCGAGTCACTCAAATGCAATTTGTGAGGTGGGTTGCTTTACTGCTGCTTTTCAGCTCCGACGCAGCTCCCGAGACTGGCTTCGAGCTTCGAAAGCCCTGCCCTGCTGAACTGAGTCTTGAGCTCCGAAAAACTTCCTGAAGAAAATGGCTTTTCAGCTTCGATCGCTTCTGAAGCCCGACTAAACCTTCCGAAACCATTCACCCTACGTAAGCCCTAACACCTACAAAATTATTGGTTCTAGAACTACCGGAGCTGTAACTAGGTATGAGCTCACGAGAACCGCACAGCAACGATGGCTCAGGAGCGTCGCACCTGGCACCTGCGATGCAGGGAGCACACGGTAAATAGGTTTTTGGGGGTTGCCTTGGAAACGTGCAGAAAGATTGCGGGGAACATAGAACCACCCGAGGACTTCCCTGGCAATGAGAAACCCACGCAACAGTTGGGCGCGTCACACGTTTCAGAACGGTAGTATTGTACACATCTGTGTATGCTTACTGTTAGCAGCTGTTAGCATATACTATCTAGTATCTTTGCGGGGCTCTGCCTGAATGTAGCAATGTAGCGTTTTGTGCGAGTACGTAGACAATTCAGCAGGGCTACATTTGGAATTCTCTAGCAAACCATCAAACTAGACAAGTAAACATGCTTGAAGGCGTAGAGTTATGACGATGTGCTGGTCAAGGCCTGCACCTAAGAGCTGCCAATGCCTGCGATAGACCAGGAGGACATACTATGCATTCTGCTTCCTTGTACGGGAGTCTTCGGGTTCCTTTGAAGGGCTCCTAGAAGGGATCTATACTATAGGGGGCTTTT